ATAATTGAAGATATTCATAAACAGTAAGTAATATTAAACATTCCATATTTTAGAATTATTGCGGTAATGGCTTAACAACCTTTTTTTACAGTAAGTATGGTGTCACATGTTTTCTTATTCACAATAAACTCATACAATGAAACACATGTGACCTAAAGACAATTATACATGAGTACAGGTTAATGATACACAATGTAGACAAAAGGGGCTCCTGGTGGATAGAGAGTACGAGTGTGGCCGGAGGCTACTAAAGCAATGATCCACGAAATATCTCAATTAACTCCAGGTTCACATATGTAAAAGGTAGTTTGCGTGATACGCTGCACCTAGCCTATAGTTTAACATGGTCCATTAATGACTTGATAATTAAATCAAACAACACATTACACAATATACATTACAATATGAACTCTACAAATCTGACACATTACATTTATCGTGAAGGGTGGTAATCATTTAGATGCGTCGCTTGTAATGAAGGGAGACAACGTCATGTCTTAACATACAAGTCGCAAAGGGCGATACAATGATTACTTTTATGAAATACTATTTGTCATAGAAATTCTATATTGCAGTTTGCAATATAGTTTAACGTAATTGACCTAAGCATTGCATACAAGTCTGGGAATACACCTTGTACACATAGGTCAAAGTAACGCTTATGTAACATTATAATAAAATCACTAATTACAATAATACACCAGTATTGCATATAACAAAACAACATGTATACATCAATAAGAATTACTGAGCTGCTTACCTTGAAGAGAGAAGGAAACCGTGAGCACAGAATTGTGACGTGATCCGTTTATTTCTGGAGTGCAAGTGATGGTTAGGACCTACACCTGCCCTCCATATATACCCCTTAACCCTGAACACAGTGATTTGTCATCTCGTGCCACGCACACAGTTTCCATTCAAGATGACCAGCTCGCATGTCAAACATAAACCATCTTTGTTTTAACTGCCTATGTCCATCGTATTGACAGCTATGACCGGAGGGAAGAGTTACCTGTGCACAATAGTCCCATTGACTTTTTACATTTTATTGCACCGCAGTGCAGGCATAGATTTTCTGTGCAGTGACATGTTTGCCTAAAGCGATCACTGCTTATAATAAACCAAATGTATTGAGAGAGCATATGTTTGTACCCAAAAGAATTTAATATTATATCTATACGATCGCAAACCAAATATTTATTAATAAAGCTAAATTAATCAATTATATTTTATATATATTTGCTTAATTTTAGCACGATAACACTACCATTGATCATTTGGTACGTTTAGAATCCTTTGTTAAAAAGGCTATAGTAAAAAAACAACATGCTGTATCGATATTCTTTGATCTCGAGAAGGCATACGATACCACCTGGAGGGGTCATTTACCTCTTTTATTTATTTCATTAGGTTTTAACCGACAGCCAATTTCAAGTCCGAGGGTTTCAACCCTGTTTGACCATTACAATCAGGATCATAATCTCCCACAAGGCAGCATTTTGTCTGTCACTTTATTTAGTATCAAGATCAATAGTTTATCCAAGGTTTTAAATGATTCAATCGATGGATCACTTTTGTGGATGATTTAAATATTTCCTGTCGCAGTAAATATATGCATACTATTGAACGGCAACTGCAGTTGTGTTTAAATAAAATAAATAAATTGTGTCTAGAAATCGGCTTTAAATTTTCTCAATCAAAACTAATTATATACATTTTTATGCCGTAAACACAAACCGCATAAAGACCCAGAACTATTTATAAATGGCAATCTCATCAAAGTTTTCAAGGATGCAAAGTTCTTGGGTCTAATTTTCGACTCCCATTTAACTTTTCTTCCGGATATCAAATATCTTTAAAAAGATTCCTGAAGGCACTCGATTCAATGAAAGTAGTTTCTAATTCAAAGTGGGAGAGATCAAACTACCCTCCTACGCCTATATAGATCATTGGTCCGGTCCAAATTTGATTACGGCTCCATCGTATATGGTAGAGCCTGCAAAGCAACCTTAAGTAACTCGACTCTGTCCACCACAGACAGGCCTAAGACTTTGTCTTGGGTCTTTCAGAACTTCTCGTTTTGACAGTCTCTACGTCGAAGCTGATGGCCCATCACTTAATCAACGCCGTATCAAATTAGCTTTGCAATATATTACAAAACTACAGTCTAACGAGTCTAATCCTGCATTTAACTCTGTCCTCAATCCTTTTATGAGGATTTGTACAACAGAAAGTCTTCTCTTGTTCCGCATCTTGGACTAAGAATTAAACCATTCATTACTGCTGCCTGCACTGACCTGGAAAATATTGCTCTTCCCGCCTTCTTTCTTCTCCTTGGCAATTGATTTGACACCTTTTAAAAAATCTGAAACTAATTAATTACAATATGAACAAGAATTTAATCAATTGAAAAGTAAATATAATACATACAAATCCTTATTTACAGATGGGTCCAAGGATATAATATTTTCAGACTCTCTTGCTTTCAGACCATTCAAAATCTTTCTTGTAAACATCCTCTTCAATAGAAATTATTGAATTGTATAATGATCTTTTAATTGAAATAATTGCTACTGGCCAATATGACATAGTCCTCTGTTGCTTACCAAGCCATTTTGGAATTTTTGGTAACACAATGGCCGATTTTGCTGCTAAGGCAGCGCTCAACAAATCTGTGACACCACTTCTCATCCCATAGTCTGATTAATAAAGCTGTCATTAGATCCTACATCCGTGATCTAATGCAAAAGAAGTGGACACCCAACTTGGTATAAATAAATTACATGAAATAAAACCAACTATCGGTTACACCTACTTGGGTTGTCAGTCCAGATTTGAATCACGGTCAAGCATGTCCTGCTTGACTGTAATAATTTTTCCATCACAAGGGACAAACATTTCAATGTCAAAACAGTGAAGGATCTTTTTAATGTTAATCATCATTTAATAGTTGCATTTTTAAAAGAAATCGAATTACTAGATCAATATTTATTGCAAAATGAAAGAAGTAGTTTTAAATTATTATCCTCCTGAGAGGGTAAGTAAGTCCCAAAGCATTCAAATTAAATTTAAACCTACTATTATTTTTAATCGTAGTATATATGTTCTTTTAATTTTGGCTACATTTTCCTAAAATCGCCAGCGGCTGAAGGGATGGTGTAAATAACTAGGGTCCATGCAGGTAGCAAAGGTGCTATAAGTCCCCATGGTCCTTAGTATGGTGATCTACCTTCAGTTGTTGGCAATTTATAGCCTGTTTTTATATTGTATCGTCCTCTATAGTTAAACTGTTATAGATTTAATTACTAGTTTTAAATATATATCTGTCATAATCTGTGATAGTTGTTTTACTGTCCTTCGTTGACAGGTGTTTATAATTTATTTTTCAATCATTATAAATCTATAACTTGTTTTAGTCACGATATGGCTGAAATATTGCCGACGTGACTTAAAATCTTAGCTCACTCACCCCGCCATATAGCTTGAATATTGCTGAGTGCGGCGTAAAACTAAACTTACTCACTCACTAACGGGTTCGAATCCCGTTCGCCATGATTGTGTTTGTAGGTCCTGGATCCGTGATCGTTGATTTATCCACATCAGTAACATAGGGATTTATCCCGCATTCAGCTGGCATGTCTGGATATCCTCCATAAAAGCCGTTATATCAAGCATACCCACTCGTTATTGCGTCAGTTTTGATCTCCAGATATGCTTCAACAAACGTTGTTCGTCAATACAAAGTACGTTAATTATCTTATGACTTTGAAATATCCTGATCCAGCTCGAGACTGGCTGGGAACTGGTTGCTATGGATACATGGATGTTTCCCAAACTTAGACCAGCTTCCCAACCATTGTCGGAGTTACATTAACAGTCCAATACGAGATAATTTGATGTTATTTTATTCGATTCCATTACGCATGACATGTAAAGACTAGAGACTTATTTCCATGGATGTACGACCCGTGAAGATCCAGGCTAGAATTAATCTTCAGTAACCCATGCTTGTCGTAAGAGGCGACTAATGGGATTGCGTGGTCAGGCCTGGTTGACGCATGTCATCGTATCCCAATTGGGCAGATCGATGCTCATGGTGTTGACTCGATTACTCTCAGACCTCCGCCATATAACTGAATATTGCTGAGTGCGACGTTAAACAACAATCAGTCAACCAATCAACCTTGTACACACCTATTGGTCATGTACCTCTTTGTTACCTGTTGGTGCTCAATGGCAGCGAGGAGTGCTTCGTAAAACACTCACTCACTATTGCGTTTTCTCGTTCCTCATGAACGTATAACCCGGAGGAAGAAGGCAATTATTTTTCGACTAACTTGTTTCTGTTTGGGAATGAAAGTGACCAACTAAGAAATCTCATCGACTGTACTGTCATGACACATGTGTTTGGGGATTAATCGAAGTGACTTGTACGATTCCATTGGCGGTGGGGCAGCCTATTCATTAGAGCGTTCGTTCGTCACGCCGAAGGCCCCGGGTTCGATTCCTCATATGGGTAAAATGTGTGAAGCCCATTTCTGGTGACCCTCGCCGTGGTGTTACTGGAATATTGCTAAAATGGCGTAAAACCATACTCACTCACTTGTACGATTCCGATTCCGACCTCATGTTTATGAATAACTATCAAATAGTGATGATACCAGGTGCTCGCAAAAAGACGGGTGTGTGCTTCCCCAACGCTCGCACACATCACAAACACATGCAAAGGCAAGCAGGTTATTCACTGATAGAAACACTGATAGATCAAGATGTGTTTAATGAATTGCAACTTCTTTTATTCTGTGTAATGAAGTTTCAACGTTTCAAATATATAATGTGTGAACACATGACAATAATCCAAGAGGTCATTAACTTGTACGTATCAATGACGATTTTTTTAATACATTTCCATGTTAGTACTGTTTGAACTATTTAAACTAAAATAAAGCGTAGAGATTGACTAATTTTATTAACAGCCAACATTTGATGAATGGATATAGTTACTTCAAGCCAAAACCTTGAGACAACAGAAAAGTATACACGGATTTAGGACTGTTTTCCTTTGCTATCTCCATTGCATTCAATCCATGATTATTTTGTGCGGTAATATCTACTATCCTATTTTCAAGGATATGTTTAACAAGATCAACATGTTCTCCCCTAACAGCCAAATGAAGGATATTGTTGCCATCATCATCTACAAGAAGCATATCGGCTCCCTGCTTCATAAGTAGCTCAAACGTTCCTCTGTTTCCACGTACTGCTGCGATCAGGACTGGTGTCCTGTTCAAATGTCCTCTAGCGTTGATGTTTACAATGTTATTGGACAGGAGGTACTTCACAATGTCCACGGCGCCTTCACAGGCCAAATGGAGGATGGAGTTGCCCTCGGCATCTACAAGCGTCAGATCAGCACCGTTCTTCACAAGTACATCAAACACTTTCTTGTTACCACAACGTGCTGCAGTCATCACTGGTGTCCTGCCTCTCGTAGATTTTCTATTGATGTTCGGCTCAACGCTCTTCTGTGTCAAGACATGATTCACTAAATCCACTTGTCCACTCACACTGAGCTTATGTAGAATGTTCTCACCGCTATCATCCACTACTGACAGATCAGCTCCTTTACTCTCCAGCAGTTCAGTTATATCTCGGTATCCGTGCTCTGCCGCCAATAACACTGGTGTCATACCTTCGTATTCTCTGTCATTGATGTTCACAGCATTCTCTGTGAGGATATGTTTCACTAGTTCGCTATGCCCCTTTCACAGGCCATATGTAGTATGTTCTGTTTATCATCATTCACTAATGACAGATTGGCTCCTTTCCTCACAAGTAAGTCAAATATTTCTACCAGTCCCTCCTCTGCTGCTAACATAACTGCTGTCATCCCCTCGATGTTCCTACTTTCGATCTCTACAAAATCATTTAAGAGGACATATTTCACTGTATCCATATGTTTGCCCTCTACAGCAGCACAGAGAATATTGTTCTTCTCACTATTGACAAATGTCAGATCAGCTCCTTCACTTACAAGCAATTTCAGCACTTCTGCATGGCGCGCATATACTGCTTCCATTGCTGGGGACGATCCATCATCTGATCGACTGTTGATTTTCACGATATTCTGGGCAAGGACATACTTAACTAGATCCATATTCCCTCCCTGACAGGCCATGTGAAGAATATTGTATCTGTTGTCATCCTCCTGTGTCAAATCAGCTCCATTTTGCAGAAGTAAGTCGAACATATCCTTTCGTCCCTCAGAGGCTGCTAACATTACGGGTGTCAATCCTTCAAAACCAATGTCGTTGACATCCATACTGTAGTTCGTGAGAATGGATTTAATTATTTCCATATTTCCTCCTTTACACGCACGATGAAGGATGCTGTTCTGGTTTCTGTCCCTGATTAACAAATCAGCATTTTCCCCTGCAAGCACGTTAAATACGTCTTTATGACCCTTATATGCAGCCACCATCACTGGCGTGAACATGTGTTCCCCTCTTAGGTTAATATCAACACTACTCTGTTTGAGGATATAAGTTACTATTTCCACATTTCCTCCCTCACAAGCTGCGTGAAGAATACTGTCACCTTCTTTGTCCACCAGAGACAGATCAGCTCCTTCTTTCACTATCAAGTTGAATACATCTTTATGTCCTTTGTTGGCTGCTTTCATTGCTGGCGTCCAGTCATTTTCTCCCAAGCTGTTGATGTTCACAGTGTTCTGTGTAAGAATGTGTTTCACGATATCCAAGTTTCCTCCTTCACAGGCCAAATGTAGAATCGTATTGTGAAGAAAATCCACGTGGGACAGATCAGCACCTTTCCTCACAAGTAGGTCAAGCACATGCTTATGTCCTTTGAGTGCTGCTTTCATTGCTGGCGTCCTGTCTTGCCCTCCAAGACTGTTGATGTCCACAGTGTCCTGCACAAGGACAGTCTCTATTATATCCAGGTTTCCTCCCTCACAGGCAAGATGTAGAACCGTATTGCTCTCAGCATCGACAACAGACAGATCAGCACCTTTTCTTACAAGGAAGCCGAACATATCAATGTGTGCTTTCTCTGCTGCAATCATCACCGGCGTCTTTCTTTGTGGACCTCGGACGTTGATTTCCGCACGACCATCAAATAAGATGCATTTGACTCGGTTTATGTTGCCATCGACACAGGCACGAACAAGTTTGGTGTTTAAATGGATTTGGTATCGTTGGTTGGTAATCTTTCCTGTAGGAAATATATAAATGCGTTAAGTCATTCTGAGATTAACTGAAAATACCACACGCTTAGATTTTTGTTTAAGGAACTCAATATGTCGAGCCAAACCTGCCAATGATCAACAAATGACATATTTTTTGTCCTAGTCTCAAAGAGGACATTCTGGAATACACACAAACATTAAATTTATATGACAGTCTTAGTTTTAACTTTACATTGATTCATGTCTGGTTTTGACAATAAACATGCGGTATGTTAGCATTTACAAGTACAATTCAGTTATAATGGCAGTTACAATACATTCATCGCTAATGCCTTACGCACACACCATAAAAGCATGAGGGAAATATTCCACTTGTCCTTTATTGTCATTTATTAATCAATAGAAATTTTAGAACTTTTTTAACCAACGCATTCATAAATATAAAGAGTAGGCAAATGTTCTCATTAGTAAATTGGTATTATTGTTCCTGTATTGTCTACTATCGGATGATTTTCAGCCTCTGTTGTAGAAAATTATGCTTACATCAAGAAAGCAAACAATAAAGTGATTTAGGGCGTTGGGAAATATATTATGTGCGCCAAATGATATAAAGAGTTGCTCCTCATTAGCATATTTATCTCATTGGTAACATATTTCATACTATGGAAATAAATTTCTTCACCGTTTTGATAAGGTGGATGGATAGTCGACGGGATTTGCGATGACTTATCCTCTTCGCATGTCATTTCACCCATTCCTGAAGCGAAACACATGATTGTTTAGCATACACTCCAATACTTACACAAAAGTTAGAATTTAAAGTCACATCGGCAGTATTTCAGCCATATCGTGACTAAGTAATTTGTAAATTTTAAAGGGGCGGTGGGGTAGCCTAATGGTTAAAGCGTTGGCTCGTCACGCCGAAGACCCGGGTTCGAATCCCCACATGGGCACAATGTGTGAAGCCCATTTCTGGTGTCCCCCGCCGTGATGTTGCTGGAATAGTGCTGAAAGCGGCGTAAAACCAAACTCAGTCAGTCAGTCATTCAGTCAGTAAATTTTAAATGAAGAAAAACAAACTTATATGATATACTTACCTGCCTGCAAAGGGCAGTAAAACAACTAGATTACCACAAGAATAAATCTAAGACTAGTTTTTAAATCTAAAAGATTTAAACTATAAATGACAATACAATATAAAACAGGCTATATATTGCCAATACACTAAAGAAACAAAGACAGTAATTTAGGCATAAAGCAAAACCACCAGGTCAGATCTTCCTGATGGTATTTCCGCTCTCACTAAATCAGACTAGAACTTGCCAGTCAGATAGGAAATGAACGAGTTAAGTACCTCTGCATTTAATGAACCAAACATGTATACAGTTGTTTCTCCCTTCAGTTGTGTACCCGTGACGATCTGGTTTAGAACTGATCTTCAGCAGCCCATGCTTGTCGTGAGAGACTACTAGCGGGATCGGGTGGTCAGGCTCGCTGACTTGGTTGACACGTCATCGTATCCCAATAGCGTAGATTGATGCTCATGATGTTGATCACTGGATTGTCTGGTTCAGACTCGTTTATTTACCAACCGCCGTCATATAGCTGAAATATTGCTGAGTGCGGCGTTTAACAACAACCAAACCCTTCAATTGTGATGTGCTGAAACTATATAACTAGTACCTGATCACAGATTTAAAACTATGTGAAGAACATTGAAGATATTGAACAAAAAACGAATGACAATATTGAACAAAGGCAAGCTTAGAGTAGAACTAGTATTACAGAATTAAGTTTAAAGTGCTGACTCTGACATTCCGTGCTATCCACCGCGATGCTCCTCCGTACATTTCTGAACTCATCCAAGAATATAAACCTGAGAGAACTCTACGTTCCTGTAACCAGTGTCTCTTGAAGCTTCCGTCAGCTCGTACATCACTTGGCGAGAGAAGTTTCGAAATCTCAGCCCCCCAGTTATGGAACTCCCTCCCACTTGAAATAAGAAGTGCCCATGAGTTTGAATCATTCAAATCACTACTGAAAACACATTTGTTTAAAGTCTGCTACTGTTAGACTGTGTATTCCTAGGACAGTTCATTGCTCACAAGCGCTTTTGAGCAGTTGATTATAGTGGAAACAAGCGTTATACAAGTGTATATTTATTAAGTGTATATTTATTACATACGTTCTTGGAGGATAGTAATTCATTAATTACCTTTGACACATACATCTCTTCCAGAACGGGTTTCCAGGCATCTCCTATCTTGACATGTCTCAGATGAACAGGGGCCAGCTTGAATCTGAAGACAAACGTAATAGAGGGCATAATAGACGTTGTGATACTGACTTCCTTTCTTTGGCACGACAGAACATTATAGCCACTTACACTTGTGTTTGGCTTTGGTATGAAAGTTATATGTCCACATTCTTCTCTATGGTCCAGTTTCAGCTTCAGGACATGACACATGAGGCTGACCACATCATATCCGATGCTCCAACAGTAGCCTCTGGCTGCACATTTGAGACTGCACATTTTCAAACCAACCATTGTAAAGGTTTCTTCCCCGTAAACGTCTATGACGACGTTTTTTATGTTGCAATATTTCCCCAGTGCTATAGTATTCACCGAGGACAGCAGAATGCACACTCGCATCAAGAACATGATCCCTGTGCTATAATGTATAGTTCATCAATTACACTTGATCATGAAAGCATCAATGCAGACCAATACTTCATACTGGAATGGCTCACGTTTTAAACCGATGTTTTATAAAACTAATCATGTTCATGCAAATGTTTAATCAGTCCACGTGTGCATTTATTATAAAATTTAAATGAACTTTTATCTTCCAACTAATAATGATCTCGAAATATATTTTCTACTTATCGGCTGATGTGTTTATGATATATTTATGTGTGAATTTTCTTCAACTCAAATATTGCCATGGACAATGGGTCTCTCTGCCAATGATCACCATCTCTTTTATGTCATCTTTTAAGTGCTTCTCTTTTTGTTGTATGTATGTGAGCGAGCAAGTGAGTAATGTTGGTTTAAGAGAATATATTATCCCATCTCGTAATTTACAAAGAAAATATGGGAACTTAATGCACAACAAGTGATCTAAAAGCAAAAGTAACAGGCCTTATAATTATTTTTGTGCACTTCCGAATGGATTGTCATAAGACACAGGTCAGTTGATAGAGTGAAAGTGTGTGTACAGAGAGCAGGATGGTTGAGAGTGCACATGGAATGAGAGTGAATTAGTGGAGTATGGGAATGTAATGAGCGTCAGATAGTGTGAGATTGAGTAAGAGCCAAACTTCGCGATGCTATAAGGATAATTCGGGTAGACCAGTGATTGAAAGGTTCGCTTGTCAAGCTGAAGGCCCGGGTTTCCCATATAGATACAACGTGTGAGGCCCATTTGTGGAGTCCCCCGCTGGAATAGTGCTAAAAGGGATGTAAACCCAGACTTACTCAGTCAACCTCGTTCATGTTATTCTTGGTTCATATTCCACCTCGTATTACATCATGGTCAGCTTGTACTGTAAACGTCCTCTCCTGAGATCTGGTTGGCCAAGGAAACTGACATCTTGCCTGCCTAATTTCACAACTATGACTCCTAAATTTGTTCAAGAGGTTCAATTCTGATTGTCAACATCGAAGTCACGACAGCATCATTGAAAACCAATCGTATTGGTCTTATGCAGGCTTTTCTTAAAAAACTAACAGTCCTTCTATTCCAGCTATGGGTATAACTAGCAACATAGTGATGAACAGTCAGAAGGCTGACAGGTTGGTAGAACAGTTTTATAATGGAAGCGGTTCTGAAAATTCTCTTCAAGGATTCAAAACGTCAAAGAACCCTATGAATATTTAAGTAGCTATGGATGATCTTACTTCAGGTTCATTTACTTATGATGTGCTAAAGCTGGTAACTTTCAAAGCTCACAACACTGAGCGGATAATTTATGTTATGTGCATATCCTGATTCTTCTTTTGCGAGTGTTTTAAACTGTGTCTGAATGTGTACCAGTGGCTCGGATACATTCTGTAGATTTATCCCTGTACCAAAGCCAGGAAACACCTTTGTTATCTTAAACATGCCTGGATTAGCAATCCCTGGCTTCCACTTGTCCATCTACCAATTAACTACTGGTTTCCCTTGTTATCTCATAACTGTTGTTGTTTTAACATGTACATATATTGCTGTTTGTTCCTAATTGTTTCATTCACCTGATGAAGGAGTAAGAATATACTTCGATACAGTTTACCATGGGTGCAACCGTTTTAGAGATACAATTAACAGGATCAGTCCAGGAACAATCATGCTGTAAATAGAACCGACAAAACCCTTTCCACATTTATAAGAAATATCTGCCTAAAGCAGAGTCTACTGTATAATTGTGACTATATCATGAGAAGATATTTCTTTCAGCAGTATTACAGCTGTATGATGTTGTTTGTAAACAAATCGGGTCTGAACCAGACAATTCAGTGATTGTCACCATGCGATACGATGGCAGAGCATTTGTTTATGAATCACTATGAAATAGCGATGATACCAGGTGTTCGCGAAAAGGTGAGCGTATCCTGCCCCACCGGTGGCACTCGTCATAAACATATGCTAAGTATAGTCATTTGTTCACCTGAAACAATTTTGAACGTATGGTTTTAAGTCAAAATATGAAATTCCATCGGTAAAGTAAGTCCCAAATGTATATGACCATTCACATTCCCTAATACTACTACCCTTCATTATTATTATTACTTGATGATTAAATTAGATTAATAAGTCCCAAGCGCTAGGCAGATATGTTCCCTGGTCACGGTTGATTGCTGGTTGGCTTCTTCTGATGTCTATGGCCTCTTGCAAGTTTCTTTGCCGCCAATTGTTGTTGTTGACAGATAGGACTTTGGTGGCTTCCCATACGATGGCATGGTCCTGGTTCTTGTTGATGTGTTCAGAAACAGCAGATTTGAGGTCGAGTTTGTTGACAGATGCTTGATGTTCTTTGAGTCTGGTGTTGAGGGGCCTGAGGGTTTCGCGGATGTATGTGTCACCACAATTGCAGAACATTTGATTTACACATCCTCTGGGGTTGGGTGGTTAGCTGCTGGTGCCTCTGCTCCCTTAGGCAAAGATGGCTAATCCTACATCAGTGACTCGTCAACATTTGTCAATCTATTAAAGGAGTCCAACCACACAGGCACCATGGTCAGCTATGACGTCATCGATCTCTTCACTAACATCCCTCTACAAGAAGCCCTAGGCATCCTCTGATAGAAGCTCCAACCCAGAATTGACGACCTAGACACCACACTCACAATAGACAGCATCATCAGCCTCACCTCCAGCTGCTTTGACACCTCTTACTTCACCTTCACCGACAAGATCTACAAGAAAATACATGGACTGTCCATGGGATCCCCACTGTCGCCACTCATCACCGAAATATTTATGACATCCTTCGAAGAATCAGCCCTCTCCACTGCACCATTCAAACCCCACTGTTGGTATCGGAAAGTGGATTACACATTCACCATCATAGCCCCCCAGAACTACTTGATCACACACAGATAGACAATTTGATATGTTTAAAATTTCCCAAAGCTACATTTAGTTTAATTAATGATTTCATGTTGTTCTGTATATATGTTCCGCCTGTAGGCTCTACATTTTACAACAGAAATAATATTTCAGGTTGCCTTATTGATAGACTTGAGGCTTTTATAGTGGATCATTGGACTGATTTCACGTCATCACATGTATTACTTTGTGGGGATTTAAATGCTCGCACAGCTAATGAAAATAATCCAATCTTTGAGCAAAGTGTAGACGTGGTAATGATGATGTCGAGCAGCGGGCATCACATGACTCTACTATTAATAGTTTTGGACGCATTTTTTTTATTTGTGTTATGTTTGTCGTCTGTATATATTGAATGGGAGAGTTGAAGGTGATAAAGGCGGCGAGTTTACTTATGTATGAGAAAGGGGTTTTAGTGTTGTTGATTACTTTCTTGCATCTGTTAGTTTTTTTGAGTTTGTAGAAATGCTAAATGTTGGTGATCGGTTAGACTCTGACCATTTCCCCCTTGAGTTATCTTGCAGGTTTCCTTTAAGCAGTCATGCTAAGCGTACTGTAGATTGTGATGACCATGACGCTTACTTACGATTTGTCTGGGATGCATCGAAGGTAGACTTTTTTACTGCATCATTGAGACAGATGCTGCATATCAATGATAATTCTTCGCAATATATCGCAAACGGAATGGTTATGTCATTTTAAGGATCTCTTTTCCAAGGAAGTTATTGCTTACGATGTTGACAATTGGTTATCAGATTGTGACAACGATGTGCTAAGTGAAGAGTTTAATGATGTTGATAGGCTTGTGCTGGAATCACCTATAACGGAATATGATATATACTGGATGCTGTGTCTCGTCTTAAAGTTGGTAAATCTGCTGGAGTTGATGGTGTTATTTCAGAAATTCTGAAATACTCATTACCTGACAGTATGCCCTTCCTGGTTAAAATGTTCAATCGAGTATTTGATGCAGGTCGTTTTCATTCCGTCTGGGGGCAATCTATTATTATCCCGTTATATAAAAACGTAAATGCACAAAATCCTGACAACTATAGGGTATTTCGCTGACTAGTATTCTAGGTAAAACTTTTACATCTATTATCAACAGTAGGTTAACACAATCGTCGAATATGAGAGATTTAATACCGGAATCTCAAGCAGAATTTAGAAAGGACTACTCAACATTTGATCATATATTTACCTTGTGTGCTATTATTGAGAGATATTTATCCTTTAGCAAGCGAAAGTTGTATGTAGCTTTTGTAGATTTCAAAAAGGCGTTTGATTCTGTAGATAGAGGTAGAATGTGGAAATGATTAAGAAATATAGGTTTGAGAGGTAAAATGTATGGTATCATAAGATCGATGTATTCCAATGTAAAGTCATGTGTCCGCTGTGGCTATGGTGTAAGTGACTTTTTCGATTGACCTGTCGGTCTGTGTCAAGGATGTATTTTAAGTCCTTTTCTTTTCTGCTTTTTTCATTATATTTAGATATTATGACTGACTGACTGACTGAGTTTGGTTTTACGCCGCTTTTAGCAATATTCCAGCAACATCACGGCGGGGGACTCCAGAAATGGGCTTCACACATTGTACCCATGTGGGGATTCGAACCCGGGTCTTCGGCGTAGATATTATGAAGTCTGGTAAACATGGCATCCAACTTTCTCCCGATGTAATCGAACTTTTTTATTATTTGCTGTTGATGTCATTCTTATGTCCAGCTTTGTAAT